AGTAGAGACAATGCAACCAAACATGTATTCTTTTTCACTTGGTTTCCCTGAAGATTAGCCAAATTTATTTCTCAGTTGCAACAAACAGCCTATCCTTGATGCCAAATACATATTTTTCTCTTTCTCTTAAAGTTGTCATTTTTTTTACAACATCACTTTAACCATGTCACAATAAAAGTGACATAATTAAATATATTGTGAAGTATGCTTAAATGTTTTACATACAGTAGGCAGAATTAATATACGAAGGCTGTTTTCTACAAGCTATTCCATAGTAAATGCAAAACAGAAACAGTGTGGCCTAGAGCAGTATTTTTCAAACTGGAATGTGCAAAAGAATCACAGAATGATCTTATTAACAGGCAAATGCTTATTCAGAAAGACTGGGGTGGAGCCGGAGGTTCCGGAGGCTCCCAGATAAGATCACTTCTGGTCCTCAGACCACACTTTGAGGAGGTAGGGCCTCACCAACATTCATGCCTGTGCATGAATGGAAAGTCAGTACAGGAGAAATAATGAGTATAATGGAGCCCTAAGACATGACAGGGCTTCCCAGGTGGTTCAGTGAGAAAGAATCCACCTGCCACTGCAACAGACGCAGCAGGTATGGGTTTGATCCCTAGGTCAGGTAGATCCCCTGGAGTAGGAAATGGCAAACCCACTCCAGTATTCTTAGTCCACTGGGTCACAAAGAGTTGGACACAACTAAGCAAGCACACACCCAAGACATGATAACCCTCTAAATGGTGAGAACCATGAACTAGAGCAAATGGGATCAGATCATCACATTTCTGTTTCAATTTTTAAAAATCAAAGCGTCTTAAACCCAAAGTCTATAATAATTTTTTATAACAAATGCCCAGTTCATGTTTTTCAAAGAACTTGATTCTCATTCATGGTTTAGACATTCTATCATATAGCGTTCAATAAAATTCTGATTGATATATTTCCAAAAATCCACAGTATTTTGAATGGTTATAGGAGGACACACAAGGAAAGAATACTTACTGAACACGTGGAAAGATTCCATCTATTCAGATGTTTACTAACCCCCCACCCCCACTGTATTCCAGTACCATTCTGAGGCCTCACCATCTGGTTTCTTTTTTCTTTTATTTATGTTGGTTTGATTCTGATTCTTCATTTCTATCATGTGGAGGGTCAATTATTATATAACTTGGGAAATTACTTGATTAGTGAATAAGCGAATGAATCTACATCATTTGAAGAAAATTCATCAGCTGTAATACTGGTTAAGAAAATATCTGAAGAGTAGTCAGTTCAATATTTTTTTCTTTCCAGGTTATTTCCAGTTAAGAGTATTCCTCCTTGCATGGCATGTTGCACAATGATAATTTCTAAAATACTTCACAGTAAAGAAAAGGCCTAACTTTTCCGAAGCTATTCCACTTTTATAGATTCTCATATTGCCCGTTGTCACATGTATGTCTCCCCAGCGCAGTTTCACAAATGCAGAAGGGAAAAACCTGTATTTTGGTTAAAACTAAAATTAACCAGTTGTCTAATATACATAAAGAACTATTTAAGTCACCGCTTAAGTACAATAACATTTAAGGCTTTTCTTAGGTCACAGACTTTAGAGCCAAGTGTACGAGCTTTCTATTGCTGCTGCAACAAATTACCATAAGTTTAGTAGTTTAAATGCAGATTTATTCTTTTATGGTTCTGGAGGTCAGAAGTCCAAAACGGGTTTCACAGGACTAAAATCAGGGTGTCAGCAGAGCTGTGTTCCTTCTGATGTCTCTGGGAGAGAGGTTATTTCCTTGCCCTTTACAGCCTGTAGACACCTCCCACATTCCTTGGCTCTTGGCCCCTTTCTCTGTCTTCAAAGCCAGCAATGTTGTATCTCTCTGTGACTTTCTTCCACTGTCACATCTTCCTCCAACTCATTCATCTCTTCTGCCTCCATTCACTTTTAAGAAAACTTGCACGTAGATAAACTGAGCAAATCTCCCTTTGAAGGTCAGTTGATTAGGAATCTTAATTCTTTTGCCATGTAACCTCACATATTTACAGGAAGGATTAGGATGCAGACTTTTTTTTGGGGGGGGGTGGTCTATTATTCTGCCTGTCATGCCAAGTGTTCCATTTCCATTTACTAACATGAAATTTCCTGAAGCACATTTAGTTCTCTCACTGTTCTTTGATTCTAGGAAACGAAGCTCTTAGGGAATAACGATAATAGGGTAAGATTACTGATAGCAATAACGTGCATTTCAGTTTTTAACCATGAGCTCCGATTCTATTGGGATGACTCCCATACTCAAAGAAAGATACAGATATGACTGGAACGGTCACTGCTACATAACCATATTCTCCCAGATCCATGTTGTCTGAAATTTCTGAGCTACTGATGCCACACATCATGGAATCAGAGTGTGACAACCAGGATAAATGTCTTGATTCTCTGTGATCTAAGTTGGCTACAAAAAGGACCTTTTCCTTGAAGTTTTAAGAAGCTAAATCTTCTTCCAAAATTGCTTTAATGAGTTTAGAATCATTAAAAATGTCCAAAGCACTGAAGTAATAATGTTTATTATGTTCTTAAACACACAAAAAAATGAGAAATTAAATGAGTAAGTTATAGTAGCCTAACCTTTTCATGCCATTACTAGGGATTGACAGGCTGGTTGTTTAAACAGCTGTACAATGCTTAAACGCCAAAGACTCTAAATCTCTAATAACAAAAAGAGTAACACTTTGCATGAGTGTTTCTTTGAATATATTCTAGATTACACTTTCTCACAGGAACCCTCGACTAAGGATTTATTATATTTCAATCCAAAGCCACAGAGATAGAGTTCGAATGATTGGCTGAAGGCCCTATGCAAACTGAATCTAAACGTGAAACAAAGTAAAAGTTTCCAATTTGAATCCATGGCCTGAATTCTCATAGACAAAAACATGTTTGTGGTGATTATCATTATTTAAAACAGGCAGGTCCAATCGCCAAATGCTAAAATACAAACTGTATGACAGTTTAAGCAGAGTCAGATGGGCTCTACTAAAGTTTCATGTCACACAAAGGTTGTGAGAGATATATTGTTTCTTGTGAGTCTTCTGTAACACACAGTGTGAGAAGCTGTCATCTCTTGCACGGGTTAATGACACCCTCAATATCTACCCCTCTCACCTGCTGATCCTCTCTCCTGTGCCCTCAAAATTACATCTAACACTTCTGAGAACTGTTCACAGCTCCTATGAAACTCCTATGGGGTTTTCATCAGTGTATCAACTCACTGCAGTTCCTTGGGCCAGCTCTAAGTGAGATCAAGAAGAACAGGATAAGGTAGTGATCTGACAGATTTTCTTCATACAGCCAGCAAAAAAGAATTCTGAAAATCTCTGCACGTATTTTTAAATAACATCCAACTGTTTTTAACCTAAGTTTGCGCAGTTGAAAGGGGACATGATTTCTAATGCTCTGTCCATATTTATTAGAACCTCAGGACTGCACGTTTCACTGAGTCTATGGAAAATTAGAAAAGGTAGCCCGTGGATGAGCTAATCAACCCAAGACCACTTTCTGTCGAGACAAGTCTGACTTCGTTTTTCAAGCAAATACGAAGATAGTTCTAGTGACACCAGTCTATCTTCTGAAATAGGAACAGTCTATCTTCTAAAAGGAACCGATAAATACAGCACAGAACCTTGTCACGTGCTTGGGCCTTGGATGAATGGGGCAGAAGAAAGGAGAACTAGCAGGCAACAGCCATGTTCAGAGGCAGATCAGTTTCAAGAAAGAGCTGGAAGTTGAGGAACTGAAGATTGAAACCCCTGATACACTATGTCCTGGGCCGTCCTGGTGCCCAGTTTGGAGAGTGCTGAGAAAAAAATGACTTACTCTCAGAACGTATCTAACAAGACACAGATTTAAAATGGTATTTCTACACAAAACTCCCGCTGACTGCATTTCTCTGAAGGATCCTCAGCTTTTGAAAGTATCTCAAAACAGGTATCAAGTTCTCGTCATCAGAATGAAGGGTCAACAATAAGAGATTACAATCTCGTTTGTGCAGCTAACCTCATGTAGCGGTAGTTCTGGCGACCGATTTACTGGGTTCTACATTTTCTCTAGTCCTTAGAACTTCTCGCTTTTGTTTTCTCTGTTCGTACTTGACCGTCTTTTAGCGTGTGTTTGAGCTCGTCTTAGTCACCTATCACCTTGAAGTTCCTAGGTTCCACCCCATGTCCTTATAGAGTCTTATGCTCAGGTTGATTCTCTGGCTCTTTTAGTGCCAGAAGTGGTAAGCTGTCAAAAAAAAAAAAAAGGGAACAAACTACAATTTCCAAGGCCATGATGTTGTGCCAACAGCGGAGTTGCTTATGCAAACTATTGTGTACTTCTACACGCTAAGATAGAAGTGTAGCATCACACCAAGAATAAGTTTGGAAAATCTTTCTCTTCTAATGTTTCTGAGGACAAAGTTTGGAAGAAAATCAGTGACAAGGGGCAAAAAAACAGATACAAGGAAGACGACTTTATTAGGCGATTTCTCTCCTTTCTGAGGAGCTTTCTCTTCTTTGTGAGGAGGACTCTGATCCTTTCAGAGGAAGCTCCAAGTCACTCGAAGATATCCAGTGTCTTCCAGCTGCTGCAAACTGATCCCACGGTGGGTGCTCTGGAGAGCATCTTGGGGGTCGAAGGGGTCTCAGGCCGCTCCTCATCAAGGTCGTCCGATCCATTTGCTAAGAGGAGAATCTTCCCAAGGCACCTCTTAGAAGCAGGTGTGTTCCCCTCCAAAGAGCCCACCACCTGGCTGCGACCCATCTGCGCTTGTGCCCCAGCTAACAGGTAACGCTGGGTGCTTCCGAAGGTACTGCTGCGGGGGCAGCGGGGCCTTTGAGACGCAGTCACTGGGGAAGAAGCGAGGACGCGGCTGGATGCCGGCGGCATGCGCGCAGATGCCGGCGCACCCACAAACACACGCCGGTTCCGGGTGCGGGGAGGACGGGGCAGGGGAGGGGGGCGGCCTTACCAGATCAATGAACGTCAGGAATTTCCAGCTCCCTCCGTAGGTCTGATGCGAGGGCATTTCGATGGCCTTGTAGTTGCAGAGGATAGAGCAGTAGGACAGCAGGATGGCCACCCGCAGCACCTGGCAGGGGACAAGCGCCATGTTCACCAAAGGCCTGGGCGGCGGGGAGGGCGGCGCCGGGCGCGGGAGGGCGCCGTGGGAACCCCGGGCGGGGCGGGCCGGGAGGAGGCGGGGCGCGCCCCGCGGGACCGGCGCGAGCGCGCGCGCGCGGGCCACCGCGCGGGCGGGGCGGCGTGTGCGGGCTCCGGCGGCGGCCGGGCGGGCGGCATGGCGTCAGCTCTTTCGTCATCTCCGTCATTCTGCTGCTGCCTTGGCCAGCCTCGGAGACCCGGCCGGGGGCACCCCCTCGGAGTCCCGGGAGCGGGTGGGCGGCCTCCGAGGGCGGCCGGGGCTCGGGGAGGGTCTGCCGGGCGGAGACGGAGCGCGGCCCGGGCTGCGCGGGAGCGGGGCCGGGCACCGGGGCCTGGAAACCCGCTTGGAAGGAGGGGACCCCAGTGTGGACCAAAGGTCCGGCTCGGGGACTTGCTGGCCGAGTGGCACCGTCGGAGGCGTGCAGGTGGGGTGTAAACCCTCGCGCACCGCAGATCCCACCCGCCCCCTGTGACTTGCTTGTTTGGACCCAGTTGGAATTTTAATGTTAGACTACCGTTAATCATTGTGAAATTCCCTTGTTAATTCTATTCCAGTGGGCAGACTGCCCTGCACTTTTCCACTGAAGGTTTATATTAATAAATAGCCTATCAATATATAACAAGACAGACTGGACAAAACGTTTATAAATAAAATGTTATAAAGCAAGCATTGTCAGACAACAGTTTATGCATTAAGGGCAAATCATACTGAGTCTGGATGTAAAATTCCTGTATGTAATTTAATACTAATCTTTTGAAAATTAAACTGGTTTTGCCCTTTTCCTTATTTATTTTTTGTTATGCTACAATGCCAGGTCTTAATAGAAGGAAAATAAATATAAACTGGATTCTCTCCGCCTTCCAGTAAATGCTGTCACATTGAAGTTGCTTCAGTCCGTGGGCAGCGTCACATTTCAGCTAACCAGATGCAGCGGCAGGTTATGAAAAGACAACATGGGTATTTCCTGTTGGTACATTTAAAACAGGTGTCCTCTGCAAATAGTCTCTGAGTCAGAGAATGTGGAGTCTGGGCAGGGTGAGCAGAGTGCTGGAGGTGAAGTAGCAATTCATGAATGTCATCCTGAATTTTTCCAACCGAGCTCTTAACCAAAATAGAGAAACCCAGTATATATTTTTAATTGGCCTTATAATTATGTTAATAGAAATTATAGTGTCCCCCAAATCAAGGTAATTCCAAGAAGATTCTACTAGCGTAAAACTATTCATTATTGACAAAGCCTGGTTTGATCTTCATGTAGAAGTTGGGTGCATTTTTTAAAAATTGTGTGTCCATGCTCCATGGTCATAAAATTGCAAAATTAAAAAGCAGATCTACTGAAAATCTAAGTAAGTCCCTAATAAAGATTTTTAATCACTATAAATGCACTGTAATGACTGCATATTTAGTTGAGAAAGCCACTTTTCAGGGATTATTTGTAGCTCAAAAACAAAAGAAATCACCCTTTGGCAAAATAATGTGTATATTTGTTCACATACATGTGTTTATTATGGTCTGAGTTTTCAAGGAGAGCTCTTTTGCTCTAGAGGGCAATTGGGAAGATTAAGAAGCAGGTAAAAATCACTCTTTTTCCCAATAATTGATGCTTATTACAGATTTTTTTTAAAGTTGCTTTAGATATGAAATATAGTGCCAGGGCCTTTCATTAGCCAGACTGTTTTTTTGCTATTAACCAGGAAGGGTTGTTACTTACAGGCCAAAAGAGCAGCAGGAACTAGCAGCTGTGCTGATGTAGCTGATGGAAACAGTTATTTTCAGGTTTAAAAATGGACTCTATTTGCTATAGAGAGCTCTACTAACTTATGAGATTTCTGAACATCCAAGGGAGTCACTGAAAAGCTTCAGAAAGCGTCGTGTTGAGATTAGGCGCAAGTCACTGGCTAAATCTCACACAGATCTGAAGCACTCCCTCATTCTCGGAGATCTGTCGGTAAATTTGCCAAAGCTGCTCATCTTGCCAGGAACGCTCTCAATGTGAATGTATCCAGACCAGCACATCTGGCAGCACATCCACCTTCCCAGTCCCTCTTCGTCATGTAAGATGTCATTTTCCTGCTCTCAACAATCCATGCAGATGGCTTAGTGGCGATTCACATTCTACGTGTGCTCCTTACTTCCTTCTCAAAAACTGCCCCCTCTGCAATGTCCCCACTGTCTGGAAGCATCACCAGTGTACTGTGTTAGAAGAACCAAATGGCCTGGGGGTGCCAGTCTCTTTGCTGTTGTTTAGTTGCTATATCGTATCCAGCCCTTCTGTGACCCTATGGCCTGTAGCCCACCAGGCTCCTCTGTCCATAGAATTCTCCAGGCAAGAATACTAGAGTGGATTGTCACTTCCTTCTCCAGGGGAACCTTCCCAGCTCAGAGATGGAACCCACATCTCCTTCATTGCAGGCAGATTCTTTACCACTGATTCACCAGGGAAGCAGACAGTCTCTTAATGGTGCCAAAATATCCCTGGAAGTGTGGCACGGTGAAGGTGATCCACTTACCAGAATTGTTGTTGCAAAGGAAACTGTTGTGTTGTTAGAAGAAACATTCTTATAAACTGCTTTGATGGATGGGTGAATGAATGGTAAGAGAACCTTCTAAACGCATTTTAGAATGACAGTAAATCATTGCTAAATTTCCTCTCCCCCATGGGTGTCAGGGTAATTGCAGAGCTTTTGTTTTGCCGAGTGGACCATATACAGGAGTTTGGAACTCGAAATCTCTTGCTCTGGGCAGTAGAGAAGAGGCCGACCTCCATCACCAAGGGGTCTTTTTTCCCCCCACAGTCTTTAGCCTCTAGTCTAAATAAATGTTCAACAGATATTTTAAAAATATTTCAGAGGTTTTAAACCCAAGTCATTCAGAGACCAGGCATATATATAAGTAAAGCTAGATGTAAGATAATAGGGTAAAATTGGATCTATGAAAAATGAGTAAAATGGCATACGTGGGTGCATTTTAGTTCAAATTTTTGAAGTTAAGTCAGCCAAAGCAACACCACCATCACCATACTGGTATGGTGACTGTTTGCTAGGGTCACTCAGCTGGAGTCAGCTAGAAGCCTGCAGGTTGGGGCTTTGAAAGAAGGCCATGTTCACATCTTACCCATGATATCCAAAGAACTCTCTCAAGACTGCTTTAGAATCATACCCCATCTGCCTCCTCCTCTGTAAGGGTTGAGATTGCTTTGGCAACCCTATTCCTTGAAGTAGGATGAAGGAAAACATGAAGTCAGGTCAAAATGACATGTGTATGCTGTTGGTTAAAGAATATTTACAGAAGAAGCTCCCACATCATCCTTCACCTTCATATCACTGGCCAGTGCGCTTCCATGTGGCCAAGGCTCGGAAAAGCAGCCTCCAACATGGGTCTTTTTAAAAAATATTTTTAAAAAATTTTTATACCGACTTTTTAAAATTTACAAATGAAAAACACTGTTAAAAAAGAAAAGACAGTGAGTTGAAGCCTTGTTTTTGTCTAGCTGGGCTTGCCTTGGCCTGGAGCCCTGCCCGCCGCCCAGCCCTTCCCTGCGTTCCTGCCCCTGCGTGGCCCCCGCTCTTCCTCCACGGCAGCTGTCAGCCTCCCCTTGTCGGTCAGGTGAGGTTAGCGCTGCTCATCTGGTCTCAGGGTCAAGAATGGCTGCACCAGCTTGCTTGGGTTGGACGCCGGATGAAACGAGATATACAGCTCTCCACCCAGAAAAGCAGCCTCCATCTGGGTCAGGCCCCACATCAGGGTTCCATTTGTAAGGAAGGGGTGGGGGAATGTTACCGGTTGAAATATGTCCTCCAAGAAAATATGTGAAAGCTCTAAGCCCCTGGACCTTGGAAAGTGGCCTGCTTTGGGAATAGAGTCATTACAGATGTCATTAGTTAAGGTGACATCATCCTAGTGGATCCTTAATCCAACATGGTGTCCTTATAAGGAGACAGAGATGCACGGAGAATGCCACTGGAAGATGGAGACAGAGACTGGAGTCGTGACAAACCAGGGAATACCAGGGACTGCAGATTGGCGCCAGGAAGTGGGAGAGCCTCAGAACCAATTGTGCCCACAGATCTCAGAAGGAACCAGCCCTGCTGACTCCTCCATTTCTAGCCTCTAGACTCTGAGACAGTACATTTGTTAACTGTTTTAAGCCATCCAGTTTGCGGTACTTTGTCAATGACACCTCCAGAACACTAATATAAGGAGAAAACAGACTTATTGGGAGACCACTAATGGTTCCCCCCTCTCCCAACATCCAACCAGTAGTCAGATTACAGGAATCCATTATCTGCCACATTTCTCAATTCTGAGCCTTTGTTTTTATTTCTACTGCGGTTGCCTTAGCGCATGAGCTCTGTGATTGCTCTTCCTACCACCATCTTTGCACCTTCAGTTCCCCTTATCACGGCCACTAGAATCATCTTCTTGGAATGATAGCTTCAATTATTTCCAACCGACTCCCTTGACTTGGTGTTCTGTGTCTTCCACTTATCTGACCTTAACCCAGTGTTTCAACTTCCATTACTGCACCTTTTATTTATTTATTTTTTTACTGCACCTTTTAAAACAATTAGGTATTTCGTTATCATAGGAATACCCCCCAAAACTCAACATTCACTCTTCCTTGCCCCTTAAGCACTGATGATTCACGTCATTTTCTCCATCTCTCAAATTCCTACTCATCTCTCAAGGCCCAGCTCTGGCAAAAATTCTCTAATAATGCCTATATTTGCAAACATTTTGCCAACTAGGGAGCACTTTCACATTAAACTAAAGGGCATCTTTTCCTGATGGGGCAGCCTATGAGCCTCCAAAACAAGCACCACTACCCTCATAAGCGTGTTGCGTTGAGATGCCCTTCATGAGGAAGTAACCAACCGGAAGGGGGCCTAGTTGCCAGAGAACACTCCCTGTCTTTTGTAAGATGGAAAACATATTTCCCAATAGTTTGAAATTATGTGAAGCAGCTAATTAAACTATAAACTTGGGTCCCAGACTCTTTGTCCGTAGAAGGTAAGACATTGGTCAAGCTGGTAGCGTCTGCAGGAAGGCAATATCACAGAAATGTGGAATGCAGGGATGGTGGGATGGATCATTCTTCTTACCATATTAAAGAACTTGTCCCCAGAGTTAAGGGCAGTTAAATGTTTGCAGTCCATTTACTAGCCCTCTGTGTTAGTTATCCTCAGAGCTAGTTAAAAGTTCATTTTAGAGCCTAGTGTAATAAACATCCAACATTAAAGAGGAGTTAGACAAAATTAAACAATTTTGTTTTCATTTTGTTTTCAGGAAACACATGATTTACCATGAGAGATGGCAGTGTCAAGCCTGCCAAGTGCCAGAAGCCAGTTTAAATTATCTGTGAAACTGGCCAATTGAGAGCAGAGAGAACCCCGGCTTCCCTTGTCCCAAGGGAAGACTGGTAGCCAGGCAGACAC